AACAGAGTTTGTGAGCATGCATTTGATTAAAGCACATGCACAAAGAAGGAGGGAGAACCAGCTAATAAATACCTGTGCAGTTTCTGTCATCTTCTGTTCAAACTCAGACTTAGCTGTGGCATATTTCTCCACGTATGATTTGTAGGTCTCTGTGGCTTTTTTGGCTTTCACTCCAGCCTGCAGAGCATAAACAAACAGATAAATGACTATCAAGTGTTTGTATATTGGAGACAATGACTGTCAGTCTTTCAGGCTCCTCTGACAAAATGGCAAGAAAACCGATCTCCACTTAACATCTGAAGCCTTTGGGGTTGAACTTTCAGTATAGACTCCTTTATTAAAGCACTTCATCATGCCTTATTACCAGACCATGATTATGTGGGAGTGTGTACGTGCGAGTGTGGCCTCCCACCTTGTCTACATCTCTCTGGGTGGCCCCCTCCTTGCGGAGGCGTTCCTGCTCCACAATTTTGGCATTATAGTTCTCCTTGGACTTCTGCAGAGCCTGGAAGATGCTCTGGATGTTCTGGACGGCCTCAAGGGTAGACGCCACCTCTTCTTTTGTCTGAAAACACACATGTCGTATAGGGTAAGCCTAATAACAACATGCCTTGTTTAAGATGCGAGTTTGAATGTGTCTGAATGTGTCTGTGCAAACTGGCTGCATGTGCCTTTGGCACAGTATAGCAACTAGCAATTAATAAACTCAAAGCATCTGATCCATTCTTAAAGCCTTTCGTCATTCTCATGGATATAAAAAGAGGTCTTTAATGGAGGGTAAATGCTTATGAACACTAAAACCACATAAAAAACCTTGCTTGATCATCTGTTTTACTAATTAGCATCATCCCTAAACCCTCTTATGTACTCATTATGACACCATTATGTTGTAATGCGCACATCACTGGATAAAAAAGAAAAAATGTTAAGTATTTTATCATATTATGTTATGAACACATTTATCTAAATACAGTCTTATATTGTTTTAGCAAGAGAGCCAAGAAACATAAACAGCTGAGAGGAGCAGGGAGTTGTGGGGAAGTGATCAAGAGAAACTGTGACCGCCTTTTTGTCATGCTCTAAGCACAAACACAACTCCCCTAATGCCGAGCTCCTATTTTACATTGTGCTCCGTGGCTTCATGCATCAAATATGAGTTCATCCTGCGTCTCAACAAAACGAGGTGGCAGAGTGAGGTGTAAAGAAATGCCTCGCAGAACGACACCACGAGCACATCACTGTGGTTTTGTCAAGATGGAATCCGCCAAAACTATATCCCCTCTCTTGTACATGGCTTACTTTCAGCTTCTTTGACTCTGAGGACAATCACTAGAGTGTGAAACAATTTGTAATGGTGGAAGGTTAGAATGGGTTTAAATTTAAATAGTTCATTTTGTTCAGTGAAGACGAGTTTGTGTCAAAAGTGGAGCAGAAAACCACTTTAATCTAACTGAAAGAAAAACAGCATTGGTGCAATCAAACCTCAATTAGTATTTACAGGAATGTAAGTATCAAAAATGCATGGTTCAAAATGTTCTCTTACTGTGCATTCATGCGGTGTCAGAGTATTAGGAAAGTACGCTTAGAACAACTTGGAAAGTTTGAGAATATTTTGATGCAAGAGTTGGCTGAATGTGACACAAAAACACAGAAAAAATGCCACATAAAAGTAATCATTGGGTTGA